AGCGGACATGATGTAGACGGGCTAATTTAGTAATGGAACTCACTATTCAGACTTGAATGGAGTCGAACCTGTCTAGGGCCGTCATACTCTGCATTACTAAAGAGCATTACACACGCACAAGCCCTGGTATACGACCCAAGGTAAAAGTGTATTAGCATTTTAAGGTGAGATTGTAAATGGTTTGGATGAGGAAACCTTTGTTCACTTACAGCCGAATCAGGTCAAAATGAGAGACCAACAAAATCAAGGGCTCCCAGAATAATTGTGAGACATTAAGCTACTGATAGCATCCAAAAAAACTATGAATATAAGTTGTCGGTTGTAGTAAATTGTAAGGACAACTACATTGTGAATCGAGTATTGATTAGAAAGAAAAAGTTGCTATGATGGAATTCGTGAATTGGTCTCAGGGGAAACCGAAGATGGATCTCCAATAGTTTGAAGATTCCATTCATAATTTACTCAAAAATACGAAGATCAAGTATGGTCGCGGTCTCCTTTTGTTGTATCGAAATTAGTGTCTTTGTTTTCGTAACTTTTTCTTATTGTCAGGGTGACCTATAGCAACACACCTTGTCCGTAGTCCATAGTATTCATTATCATTTTCCGAGTCGGACCATGTACTCGGTACATTCTCATACGTTTCGTCACTTGTCTCTTTGACGAGTTGTAGGGTAGTGCAAAGAATGACAAGGCTCACTGACGATGCCGGCGAAACGTCTGGGAATGTACCAAATCCACGGTCCGACTACGAAAATTATCGTGGATATTATGGACTCTAGACAAGGTATGTTTCTCTAGGTCTTCCTTAATAGTTCTAAGAAAAGCTGGGCTTCGAAGACTGTTTCAGGGATTTAGTGAAATTCGACAGTTCATTTCGATGGAAAATTTGGTTGGGACGAATTCATGAATCGTTCTCACCCGAAACCGAAGGAGGATTGACCGTATCGCCTGTACCACCTTGACGGAAATCTTCAGGGCGAGAAAACATACTTTAATAAGCCAAGAATAAAGATACACTTTTTAATAAAGTTTGCCATCTGTTATGGAGGTACAGACGAAAGCTCAGCATCGCTTCGTCTGGCTCTCAGGAAAGTGGGACAACGACTTGTACACACAATTCAACAGTCATCCTCACTCCGCGACAATCCCCATTCGGTTTTCGGTGAGACCAATTCACGAATTCCTTCTGACGAACTTTTCCTACGAAATACAATAATGACTTTTTGCCCATGCTACCAATTTAAGATTTCCTTACAATCAAGTCTTGCTAAATCATAAGGGGCCTCTTCGAGTCCCAACTTTTTGCGATATTATCAATGGAACCTTCGAACTGCTGGTTTCTTTTCATGCCTTCGAAGTAGGCGGCTTACTTTAGATCAGGATTCGTGAATAGAGCAGACATGTATTGTTTAAGTAAGCGGAGAGGCCTATTTTTTACGCCTCTTCTCAACATCAGATTATGAGGGTGAATGAGGGTTTTGTGAAATCTCCCATTCTGAACACGAGTCGAGTAGGTCCAGACATAAGAGCTGTCAACGGGCATGCTGGCTTCCGGTTGGCCCAACATAGTCTCACGTCCGCAATTGCTCAGACCATCATTAGCATGCACCTGCACACCGGCTCATGCAAGCACAACCGGCACACACCTACATCGGGTGTGAAATCACGCCGAGACGAGGCACAATGTACGTGCCCAGCGGACTATGGAGAGTGCAGTGTTGCTCAGACCCGCG